ATTCCGCATCATGAGCCGTCGATTGCTTCGTAGTATAGGTGGCAAATCCGTCCAGATTGCCTTTGCCAATGCTGGTCATCCCGTAGACCTGCAAACTCTTCTGCAAACTCTCCCGACACTGCTCCTGCGTCATGAGCTGCTCTACCTGCTGGGAAACAGGAAAAGAAAGGAGGGTAGCAGTCAGCTCCACGTCCCGTGACCACTGGCCTGGTGTGTCTATCACTTCAATCCCCTCGAATAAACTCGACACGGACCCATCTTCCTTCTTCAACGGAACGAATCTCTGACCCACACAAGCCAGCGACGGAACCGTGCGGCCATCGCACACTCCACAGAACGAAGTCAATCGCGCCCATAGCACCGTCTTACCCGAGTTCGATAACCCCGACAGGACAACTCTCTGACTTCGAGTGTCCCTCTTGATAAGCGAATGTAAATGCGCCTGTAGAATAAAGTACAATCCACCAATCGCGCAGGCAATTATTACCGCTTGATACAAGATGCCATAGTACCCCATAGTGGAAAAGGGTCGTAGATTTAAAATTGCAAGGGTTGTTTCCTGTTACTACCTGTTTTCTGCCGCCATGTGAAACCTTGTCCCGTGTCAAACCATCATCACTATCAATAATACACTACCACGACCCCAGTCGCTTTAGAAAACCTTTCTCACACCACTTCATCTTCCTGGCTTAGTCACCGTACGAAGCCGCTAGCTCCTGTCCGCACTTCACTCGGATTCGACAGCACCATCATTTCCCCTGCACCAAGCATTCGTAGATGGCGAATCTATCGATCATTTCCTTTTACTTGTGGACTTTGGTTCGTACTGGGGAAGTGTTCGAAGCCGATCCGACTCATGACTATGTCAACATCGATGAAGAAGACCCCTACCCTTATGCACCTATTCCGCAAGACATATTGAGGACAGTGAACCACCACACGCACGAGTTCAAAGGAAAACCCCGAGTCTGGTATCTGGGCCACGACCCCGAGTCGTGCTCGGGGAATCGTACCGCTTTGGAGACACAGGCTGCATCGGAGACGGAGGCTGCATTGGAGACGGAGGGCTTTTGGCTTGTCTCGGAGCAAGCTGGTGGGGGCTCGGATGAGGGCTCAGTTGACCGTGTATCGTGGACCTACAGCCCCCGAATATGTCTCTTGAACCGCTGTGGACTAGACTCCAGTCTCCTGCCTACTTGTAACCCCAAACAGAGATCTAATGATGAAGGATTTAATGATGAAGGATTTAATGATGAAAAGATGAGCGTAGTCGCTTTGCCGGAGAGAGCGCACCCCTCGTTGTCCAAGGTCTTCACGACGTCGCTTTCGCTTCTGAGCTGGGATAGCTTGGTCCACTACTTGCACTGGGAGTTCAACAAGGGCTCGTGGGGCGGAGAGGTCTCCGAAAATCCGCCCGAAACCAACCAGGTGTGGGGGCTTATTGAGCACCGATGGCAGGAGAGCTTCGAGCTCCTTGTGAAAATGATATCTATAAGCTACGCCACAATGATGCAGCTACGGGCCGACTCCGTGGCTCACTGTCTCTATAGCTGGCATGCGGTAACTCTCGACGCTCGCTCCAAGACAGACGCTGGCACCCCTCGGCCCGACTTCGTCACGACCGACGCTGCCACCACCGAAGCCGCCGCGCCGAGCGCTGTTACACCCACCTCGGCTTCTGCCAAACCAGGTCCCGCCGAGCCGGAGCCGGCGAAGCCAGAGTCGGTGAAACTGGGATCGGTGACGCTTGGTTCCGGTTCTGTGAGGCGCGGTGAAGATTCTGACAAGGAGGTGGTGGGTCTTCGGCACACGGGCTTCGCGTCCCCTCTGGGCCGGTGTCCCCACCTTTTGCGGTCGGGTTCGAGCATAAATCATTTAGCGGACATTCAGCGTCATTTCGACCGCGACGACCGGGTGGCTTTGCTGAAGCAAACGCGTGTGCACACACAGGCGCTGATGGCGGTGGTTCGGTTGCTACTTCAAGACTTCCGCAAGTCGCAGGTGGCGCGTGCGGTGCACGCAATCCACAATTTGACGGAAGCCGCGCTGATGTCCATCGCCAATCTTCAGCACACAAATGAGACGGAACGAGAGCGGCTCCTGGACGAGGAGCTGGAGCGCTGGTACCAGTTCGTCATGCAAGTCCGGCACCACGACTCAGCGACGGTGGACGCCATGGCTCCGGAGCCGTGGCAACCCGTGTACAGCGGCCGAGTGCCGGCCTTCATCTTGCACCTGCGGAAGTGGCACCGAGATCGACTGGACACACTCATGGCTGCCTGCGGACTTGAACCGTTTGAGAAACCCACCAACGGCTACCACAGCCTTGTAGGCTTCGGTCTGGTCCGTCGCCACCAACAGAAAAGTACGAATCACCACAACCAGGCGGCAGTACAACTGACTGATCACGAAATAGTGGACGTGTGCACCGGACAGGTACTGCCCCCGGGTCAGAAGGTGACGTTCAAGACACCGATGTCCACCACGCTCACGCATCTGCATGATTGGACGCGGGACTGGCGTGAAGATCGCGACCAATTACTGCACAATTGCGGAGTGTTGCAAGACCCGCACGTTGGGCATCTGTTAACCCGGATTTATGTGGTACGGCGTCGGATGCCAGGCTTAGAACGAGATGGGGAGGAAAGAGGTGGGGAGGAAAGAGGTGGGGAGGAAAGAGGTGGGGAGGAAAGGAGGTGGGGAGGAAGGAGGTGGGGAGGAAGGAGGTGGTCGGGAGAACAGAGGCGGTGGGAAGGAGACGCAATTCATTTACGACAACTATACGACGATCGAGGAGTTCGTGGATGGACGGAATCTTCGTGAGCTGTTATTGAGTGATGGGGTCAGTGCCTCTGAGCAACAGGCACTGGTTGCATCGACTACACGTCAGTTGTTGAGATTTTGGCGAGCGGGTTATAGCCATGGCGACTTGAGTCTTGGAAATATCTTGATTAAGAACACGCCTCGTGGACAGATTAAGGTAATTGATGCCGGGTCTTTGAAGAAGGATAACTTGTTGTTTCGGGATGACCGCTATTTCCAACACCTCCGCGAACTCTTCCCGGCCAAAAAAGACTCTTTCTTGAGACTCGTTCCCGACCTGTCTAAAGGCGTGCCCACACAACAGGCGATCCAGGCGATTGAACGCTTTATCCAACAACTCACCCAACATACTCCCTAGGTTACCGTGAAGCACTCGAGGTTACCGTGAAGCACTCGCTAGATGAAGTAGTTAATATCTAGCTGTAGCAACTTACTACCAAGATATGGTAGTGTGCCGACTGCGCAAGATACGGGAGACACCGCCGACTGCGCAAGATACGGGAGACACCCACGGGGGTGTCTCCCGGACTCAAGTCAGCTGCGACAGCTTTGGATTTGAGAGACTCGGGAGTCAGCTCTCTTGGAAGCAAAGCCATGAGTACGGCATCCATCAGCTTGCGTCCATCAGCTTGGTTGGTTCAATCCTCGTACCGAACAGAGATGCCCGTCGTCACTGGGGGAGCCACCACCGGGTCCTCCCCTTTCAATTCCAGGCAAGCTTGCCCACCTTTTCGGCGCTTCCTATTCTCCTTCCGGCGCCTCCTTTTCTCGGCATTTTTGGCGGTCTTGGCCAAAGCCGCCTGAATTCTTTGCTTCCGCCTACAGACACAACATAGATGAAACCGCCTCCTTGAAT